GGTCAGTGGCCACTTTTGCCTCCTGGCGCTCTGGCGAGGCAGATGGGCCGTTTCTTCTGCGTTCGCCGCCGTGGTAGCACGCCGCCGCCAGGCCCCAGAGCCAGATCTCCCAGATTAATCTCTGCCTTGATGGTTTTTCTGTTGGTGTTCAAACGAAACTCATATCCTAGGGAAAAAACCCTCTCAATAACCTGACTCAAAAGAAAAAGAATACATAATGGAAGTTATAAAGTCCTCCAGCCTCCAGGACGCCGAAACGGGAACCTGCCAGAACCTCTGGGAGCCACTGCAGCCAGCAGTGGGGACGCCAGCGGGCGAGCTAGGAGTCGGCGAGCTGGGCCTCCGGCTTCATAAGAACAGCAGCAGAAGGGGGCAAGTAACACGCCCGAAAGCATCACAACCAGTGGGAGCGGAGGCTGTCGAGAGAATTACACAGGCAGAAGTTGGTTGTTTGAAAGGACTGTTGTGGCTTCTGGGCGCAGCTTGGTCAGCTGAGTGTCCGACTCTTGATTTCGGCTCGGGTCCTGGTCCCAGGGGCATGGGATCGAGCCCCGCATCGGACTCCGTGCTGAGCGTGGAACCTGCTTGAAATTCCCCCCCCAACTCTCTCTCTCGCTCGCTCTCTCGCTCTCTTCCCCTCTCTCAGCTCCTCCATCCCACTTGCGCTCTCTCTATAATAAAATTTTAAAAAGGAAAAACGGATTGTTAAAGCTGGCATCGTGTGACGGTGGAGTCCAGGAAAAGGGAAGGAGCCGTAAACTGTTATGGATGCAGAGGGAAGGTGACAGCAGGTCGTCGGAGGAAAAGACAGCGCACCGAGCCAGTGGATGTGAGCGCGTACGAGGCGGGTTTTAGGAGAAAGGGCAGGAGGTGAAGCCAGCACGAGAGGGCGCCGCCCAAAGACCCTGTCACTGCTGCACAGAGTGTGTCCCCAAAGAATTCAAGTCAGGTAGTGTGAGTTCAAGAAACAGAAAATTCTAGTCCTGTGTGGACTCAGACACTGGAAAGAAGAACCGGCTCACCTTTTATGAGCTAGTAGAGCCGTGACGTCAGCGCCACAGCCGGCGCCGCCTGCTCCCGGAGGGAATAGCGACAGGCCGCGTCCAGCGCGGCGGGGAAACGTCGTGGAGCATGACCGGACTGGGTTGTTTCAGGAAGGCCAGTGTGGCTTAAAACGGCTATCATTTCTCACACTAACAGATATTATTATCCTAACAGCTGCAGAAATATTTGCTAAAATCCAACATCCGCAAATAAGGAATACAATAGAATTTTCTAAAGCCAATGCAGAATATCTCCCCAAACCGTAGCAGCGCTGTGCCCTAGGGCTCCGTGTGGCCAGTGCCCCGTCCCCCCGCCCTCGGGGTTTCCCCTTGGCGCCACCTGGAGCCAGGCCGGGAGTAACGTGTGCGCGCGGCCTGGAATGGGAAACCCCTCCTGGGCGTGTAGCAGGCGATGCTGCTGTCTCCGTGGCATCTGACAACAGTCCCAAGTAAGGCGTCAGCGAGGGTGTAGCCCATTGTCACGTTGAAGGTCGGCGGAGTTCACTGCGCTGTGTATGCGGAATCAAGCAGGTGCGTGGAGGCGCGGGGCAGCGTCGTTCGCGGTGGCCGTCAGCGAACATGCCCCGGGAGTCTCACCAGATGAAACAGCTGCACGAGACGTGGTGTAGCCACATGACGACATGCTACTCGGCCGAAAGAGGAACGAGCCCCCACGCCCGCCGCCACACTGCGGAAACGGTGCCGAGTGAGAGAAGCTGGACGTGGCCCTGCCGGCTGCTGTGCGGCGCGCAGACAGAACAGCAGAGTGGAGGTTACCAGGGGCGGGGGCGGGAGACCTTCACGGGTGCAGCGTTTCTGACGGGCACGGTAACCAGGTTAGGGGTGTAGATCGCGGTGGTGGGTACACAGCGTCGTGAGTACTTAATGCCGCTGAATCGTGCGCTTCCGATGGCTGAAGTAATCAACACCATGTCGACTTTACCACAGGGACAGAAGCCCATTGGGTTTGATGTGCTGGTAACGATATGCGATTTTAAAAAGGTATCTATCTGTTCAGCAACAAAAAGAGCACGTCTTAGCAAGTTAAAGATGTGCCCTGTCGTGCTCATGTAGAAATTTCACTTCTTAAAATATCTTGCAGAACTTTTGTGTGGGTGCCCAGAAAGCCACGTGCAGTGACGTTTAGCACGCGGACCGTCAGAAAAGTTGGAAATAACTCAAATGTGCATCAACAGTGGGCAGACCCTCACCACCACCTGTGCATCTCAGAACGCTGAGCGAAGTCAGTCGGTCACAGGAGGTCATTATTATAAAGCACAGAACTGAACAGCAAGTTGTTTGGAAATATCAGTGCAGTAAAACGAGACAGAGACGAAAGAACGGCTCACCCCAAACTCAAGACGACGGCTCCTCGGGCAGGCGAGGCCACGTGGGCTCCGGTTTTTGAGTGGCAGCTAGTTCCTGAGCCGTGTGGATGGTAAGCGGGTGTCTGAGCTCTGTCCCGTGCCACATCACATACGCTGCAAGTTTACGTGTGTTTGACACAGTTAAACCTTGGTTTGCAAGCATAACTTGTTCCAAAAACATGCATGTAATGCAAAGCGAGTGTCCCCATAAGAAATGATGGAAACTCAGATGATTGATTCCACAACCCAAAAACATTGGTATAAAAATGATTACAATATTGTAACGTAATACAAAATAGAAAAATAACCTGCACTTGCCTTTGAAAACCTTTGTGCCTGGTATGAGGGAGACAAGACAGAGGAGGGTTACTGTGTAGGACCCCTTTCACCATCACTAACAGAATCACTGCCACCTATTGGCTCAATGGGATCTTTCTTTTTGTGCCACTTTATTTTTTTTAATTTTTATTTTTTAATGTTTGTTTATTTTTGAGAGAGACAGAGTATGAGCGCGGGAGGCGCAGAGAGAGTGGGAGACACAGAATCCGAAGCAGGCTCCAGGCTCCAAGCTGTCAGCACAGAGCCCGAAGCGGGGTTTGAACCCCCAAACCATGAGATCGTGACCTGAGCCGAAGGTGGATGCTTAACCGACTGAGCCACCCAGGCGCCCCTTTGGGTGCAACTTTAACAAGGAACCTATCCAATGACACTCGCTTTTGCCTCCTTTTGAGGATTTCGCGGAAATGTGACACTGCGTTCGTAACAGTCCCTCAGAGAGAGAGAGAGAGAGAGAGAGAGAGAGGGAAGAACCATTGGCTCTGTTGTGATCATGTGATGTTCGGTGCCACTTGTGACCCTATTGCGAGACATCGCTCATTTATCAAGTTAAGATTTATTGGAAATGTTGGCTCATCTTGCAGAACAAGTTCCTCACAACCCAAGGTTTTACTGTATTTTATCTTCTAACTTTCTTAGCTTTTTGAGAAACAGGGAGCACTTTTCCCCCGGTTCTGTCGCCTTCCAGGTCTGGGCCCCACCCCCCTGACGGCGTTGGCGAACACCAGCTTCTACGTGACGGAAGCCAGCTCCTTACTTGGGTAGTTGTGGCTTCCCGACAACGAACCAGGTAATAATTGCATTTCTTTGTTCAGAAGGTTTTCCTTGTCCGTTTCCAGTTGTGAGAGCAGATCGCCCCCAGTCAAGAAGGTCCTGATACAGTACGCCTAAACATGAACCTCAGGCCTGATAGAATTCCGGTCATTCCCGAGCTCCGAGGACGGACGGAGAGCTGTACGGAAGAGGAGAGGAAACCCCCGGGTGAGCAGAAAGAAAACGTCTAAGGGACAGGTGGGGACACGGGGCACAGACAGGACGGGCAGCTTGGCGGCAGAAAACCCACACCGGGAGATGCCTGCCAATGAGTGGAGAGAAGGGGTTTGCGGGCGAACTCCCTGAGGCGGGGGGCGCCTTCACCTGGTTCCGAACCTGGACCCGGAAGGCCACAAAGTTCACCCCTCCGGCCCCGCCCCCCCAGGAGGCCAGTGCTGACACCACTGGCCTTCTAGGACTGCGCTGCAGGCAAAGTCCAGGACTCCCCAGCTCTCTGCTCCTGGAAAGTCCCAGAGAAAGGCCTTTTCCAAGTGTGAAAGCGCTGGGGTGGGGGGAGGGGCGCTGAGCATGGTTCCCGTTGCAGGAGGAGCAGTTAGAGGGCCCTGCCCTGAACGGAGGAGGGCTCTGCGACAGCAGGGGCGCCACGGAGGCCTTCAAATGGAGCAGACACGGGGATGGCTGCGGATGTCCCAGGGACGCAACACCGATCGTCGTCCTTACCACTGGCATCCCGTGCGTTGGGCCAGCATCTGTCCCTCCCAGCCTCGTCTGGCCTCAATCTGAGGGAAGGTGGGAGCCAGCACCGTGGGAGAGTGAGCAGTGAGGGCCGGGGGGGGGGGGGGGGGTTCTGCTCCCTCTCCCCACAGATCGGGGGGCTGACCCGTGGCTCCAGACTCTGGTCTCTGCCAGGTCCCCTGCCTTCCTGGGGAGCCTGTAGGCACCGGGATGTCACCTGGGCTTGATTTCTAGTGGCCTCTCGTGTCCATGCCTAGTCTGGACACCACAGTGTCATTCCTTCCCCTGCCAGTGAGCTAGGCCCCCAGACATGCCACGGAGCGAGGCAGGACTGGAGGTGGTCCTGTGCTCGTGGCAGAAGCCTGTGGCACAGGGACACTTGGGACATGTGCTCTGGACCGGGGCAGGCGAGGGTAGGGCTCTCAGCAGGGTGGAGGGGTCGTCCAGGGAAGGGAAGGGAAACAGTATTGGGACCAGAAAGGGCCAGTTCAGGGCGGGAGTGGCCAGGACAGTGGTGGCCAGGCTCCGGGTCTGTGGCCTGAGGACATGGCTTTGCTCTGGGGCGGCCCAGGCCTTCGGGGACCTCTGTGCAGGGAGGTTAGAGTTCGTGGTCTCCTGGTGTTGTCCTTACAGACTCCAGCCGCCTGTTCCACAGACCACGAGCTGGTGGTCCCCCCACCCCCACCCCACCCCCGGGCCCCGGGACCAGAGTCCTGCCAGGGTGCAGAGCTCGGGGGCAGCCTGGCGCTGCTGCCCGGGGACTCTGCGGGTGTCCGAGGCCTGCAGGGGGAGTACCTGGGGGGCTTCAGCCCCAGTGCACACGTGATCCGGCGCTGGGGGCCCCACACGCCCCCTGTCCCAGCCCGTGTGCCCCAGGTCACTGCAGCCTTCCCCGCGTGGCATTCCGGTGTGAACACGTGTTTGTTTCCTGGTGAGCTTGAGCGCTGGGTGTACCGGGGTTCTCCTTACACCGCTGCTGAGGTGCGTGGCCCTGTCCACACGTGGCCAGGCGAGGTGGCCGCTGGACTGTTCGCACACAGGCTCGCACAGCTGGTGCCGGTGGGCCCGTGAAATGTAAATTTCCAACTAGTCACATCTATTGAACTTTCCTTCAGTCCTCGGTGAGTGTGTTCGACGTCTGGAGACCTGTTCTGTCTTGTTTTTACCCTGCTTCCTATGGTCTACACTTCACGCGCTTTCTTAATCCAGAAGGGTGTTGCCTGGGTTCTGCACTCCTTGCCGGCTGCTTCCCATTCATCCCAGAACGCTTCTGTGTCCTATTTCCTGTGGATACTGTTTCCCTGTAATAAACCTCAGTTCTGACCCATTCACTGGGTCCCGTTCATCTCCCTGCAGTTTAGGGGTGCAGTCGAGACTCCCCAGGGAGGCGCTGCCTCACATTCACCAGACTTGTGAGAGACTGACGCGTCAATCAGAGGAGGATTTGTGGACTTAGCAGGAGAGTGGCCCCTCGTGTGACAATGTACTGTGTCCCTCAATAGACACGGTCTTCTCGGCCCCCGATTCTGGGAAACTACCCGTTCCTTGGTGGCCTGATGCCTGCGGTTGTAGCCCTGGAGGGGGTCTGGGAGGTGCCCCGCCTGGGATCACCCCCTTCAGGCCCGAAGTCCTGAAGAGCTCAGGCTGGCCCACCCCCCACGCCCTCATTCACGTTGCCTTGCGTGGAACAGCCATCCTCCCAAGGGCAGTCCTGCCCCCAGAAGTGGATATGGTAGTATCTGGAGACATCTTTGGTTGTCCAGCTGAGGGGAGGTGCATACATGTGGGTGGGGGCAGGGAAGCTGCGCAGAGCACAGGATGCCAGGTGGCAGAGGACCCAGCCAAGGACAAGACTCGAGTTAGACCCGAAGTCAGGCGATGGGCCGGGGTACAGACAGGGCTGTGGACGGGGCTTATGGGCTGGAAAGCAAGGTGAGGCAGCTTTGAGCAGAAACCTGAACACCGACAGGATGCTGTTCGGGCTGAGGAGGCTGGTGGGACCGCAGGACTGGGGCCGAGTCCCCGGAAAGTGGGGCAGGGGCAGGTGGGAAGCGTGATTGGCCAAAAGGCTCAGTAGCAGTACACCCCCCCCCCCCCGCAGCTCCCCATCCTCCTAGGGAACAGGAGTGTGCCCTGCCCCACTTTGAAGCTAAACCGGCAGGGCCACACACGGCTGGCCAGGAGAGGAGGAGGGACACACTGAGAGGGGAGCAGGGAGAGGTGAGCCCCCAGCCACCACTGTGTCGTGGGCCACACGTCCAAAACAGAACTTGGCTTGTGGCCAGCGACCCATCTCAGCAGACCTGTGGCCATACTCTGGAATGAACCCCGAGTCGCCATGCCCCACACCCCAACTGCAGGTGCTGTCAGAATTTGATCCCCAACACGGGCCCCTACCCAGCCTGGTCTCCGTCCAAAGCACCGGTCTCCTCCCACCTCCCTGCTGCCCCAAACCAATCTTAAAATGCACCTAAGATCTCACTCCCCTGCCCAGGACCTTCGGTACCTCCTGGTTCCTAATCGTGGCTTCCAGACTATTCATCCACCTTGATCCAGCTCCCAGCCTGCCTGGGCTCTTCCAAACCTTTGGCGACACTCGTGTCTCAGGACCTTTCACGTGCCCTTCTGCTTTGAATACTCTTCCCTCCAGCCTTTGTGTGACCAGCTTGCCCTACTCTCTCCCTCCCTCCGTCCCCCCCACCGTGATGTCACTTCCTTGGTGAGCTCTCCTTGGACCACAGAGCCCTCGTGTGCTTCCTTAAAGCTTTACACCTGTGGTGTGGGTGTGTTTGCCAATTTGTTGTTTTCTCTCCCACACGCACTAGAATGTGAGCTCCACTGAGCCCAGGAGCTGGCCTATCCCAGGTATACCCCAGGGCCTAGCATTAGATCAGGCGGAGGGGAGCCGCAGGGGATTTTTACAGGGCCTAGCGGCTGGAACCCTGCGTGTGCGGGGAGTGAGGCTGGCGGAGCTGGGAGCAGGCAGCAGCTGTCCTCACCTTCTACGTTTTGGCAGGAGTCAACTGCTGCGGGCTGGTACCGGCCTGTCTCCCCCGCCCCCCCCCCAGCGAGTCCTTCACAAGCCCCTGGTCTTCCAGCTTCTCTCCTGCCTGGGGCCAGTGTCCAGATGCTTGGGCTTGGTCTCCCCTCCCTCCTCCCCGAGCATCCCTGCAGCTGGGGGCTCCCTGGCTGTGGGTCTTCCCTTCCTGTCTTCATGATGTCCACCCGCCGGGACTCAGGGCCAGCGCGGCAAGCAAATGCCTGGACGTCCGTCCCTGCTGGGTTGGTTCACAGAAGCTGTTTCCAGCTATTTGCTTTTCCTAACAAGGAGACTGACGCCTAAATTTCTTTGGGGGGATGTAAGAACGGGGCTGAAAAAGACTTCGGAGGAACAGCAGGAAGAATTCCATGTTAAGTTTGGGGAAATTTTGTAACAGCCGCTCCTCAGGCCCTAGGGTTTGGGAACATTTTGGTGGTAGGCAGTTTAGAGGGGCCCTTGAGACAGTCCAAAAAAGGAGAGTCTGTTTTCAGTCCGCTCCCCAGCAACCGGTGGCCGTCCAGAAGGAACACCGCGAGGGAAGAGGTGCCACTGAGGATGCTTTGGGTGCAGCTCTTCGGTGGACTAGGGGCTGTTGCCGCCGGGAGGGCTCGGGGACGGCGAGATCGCTGCGGAGCTGGGGGCGCCCGTCCCGCCCGGGTCAGCCGGGCCCTCCCCGCGCCACGGAGGCGCCGGTCCTCCGGAGCCCAGAGCGTCCCGGAAGTGCACGCGCGAGGCCGGGGCGGGGCGAGGGCGCACTTCCGGCCGGCGCGTGAGCGGCCGCCTCCCGCTCGGAAGGTGAGTGGGCGCCGGGTGGCGGCGGCGGCG